AAGTCACGAATCAGAATATAGGATAGCAGAAAAAATGATAAATTAAATTCTAATAGTTGAAAAAAATGTAGACAAAATTCTGAAAATTTTAATTCAGGAGCACTAGAACTCACCCCAAAATGACAAATGTTTGAGGCGATGGATATGCTAATTACACTGATTTGATCATTACACATTGTTTACATGTATTATAATATCACACTGTAGCTGGCTGCGGCGGCACTGCCTGTAGTCCCAGTTACTCAGGAGGCTGAAGCAGGAGGATCATTTGAACTTAGGAGTTTGAGGCTAGTCTGGGTAACATAGTGAGACCCTGTCTCTATTTTTTAAAAAATATAAAAATATATTACATTGTACCTATAAATATGTATAATTATTGTGTCAATTAAATATTATAATAAAAGCCAAAAAAAATGAAAATAGAATTCTCAGTTCAAGTAAGTGAAACAAACAAGAAAAGAATGCACAAAGCACAAATCACAAAGCATAAGTTCAATTACACAAAAATAAAAACTCTGTGAATCAAAACAAGCCATAAACAATGTAGAAAGGTAATCTACAGACTTGGAAAGATATTTGTAATTAGTATAACTGACCAAGGAGTAAAACCAAAAATATATAAAGCATTCCCATGCATCAATAAAAAATTTTTTTAAAAACACAAAAATGAGCAAAAAAGATACCCTAGCACCCAGTATATACATAAAAGATTCCCATCCTCATCAATAATCAGGAAAATGCAATAAAAATCCCAGAAGATACAATACCATGCATATCACATTGTCAGAAAATTTTTAAATAACAATTAAAATTGTTGGCAAGGATGTGGAGCAAAGGGGCTCACATACAGTTCTCAGAATATAAATTGGTCAAATCATTTTTCAAAACAAACTGTCACTATTTTGAAAAGTTGTAGATATGTATGGCCCATGCCATAGTTACTTCACTTCCAGCTTTACAACATAGAGAAATTCTCACACAGGAGCATGAGAAAACATGTTCAAAAATGTTTATTGCAGCAATGTTTGTAAGTGCTTGAAATTGAAAGCATGTAAATATTAATCAACAGGAGCATGGATAAATAAGCAAGTTAAGCATATGGATACAATGGAATTCTATATCATAATACAGTGAATTACTTAGACATACTCATGGACACCAGGATGAATCTTACAAATACTGAACAAAAGCATTGTGATGTAGAATGCCTAGGTATTAATATAATATTATTTGCACAAAATTTAGCAATATGAAAAAAATTGAAATAATTTAGCCCTCCCAAAATTATACGAGAGAATAGTGCAGACAAAATAGACAAATGCTCCCTAGTGGTTTGGTGGCTGACGAACAAAAAAGCAACCCAAAAACAAAAACCAAAATAGGCAAACCAAAACCAAAAAAATTTTTGAAGCTGATTGATAACCACATAGGTTCATTGATTATTCTATGTTGCTGTTTGTTCAAAAATGTCTAACAAGTTTTTAAGTGCCAAATACATGAATATGTAGTAAAAATGTGACATATATGGGAATGATTTAAGACAAGTTCTGGATAATAGATTACTCAAGAGGAGTGGGTAGAGAAATAGATGTAGTTGGATGAGCTATTGGTGAATTTTATTTCTAGCACTGGACAGTAGATATCCATAAATCAACAAGTTATTTGTTGATTTATTCCTTGTAACTCTGAGTATGTCTGAAATGTCTTATTTAAAAAATGACCAATGGGAAAAGGGAGATATCATTCAATAAATTGTTCGCGAAAATTAGTCCTTTGGAAAAAACGCAAGCTAGAATTTTATTGGCATAGAGAATTCTAGATCTCTATTTCTAGACCAGTGTTTCCAGTATTCCTCCTCTCTGTGGATACATATGTGTTTCTGACCAACGAGCTCTGATAGATCAAATAGGAGATAATGAATCATTGTCCACGCTTGTTCCTCTGTTGCAGACATCTGTGTGTAGAAAGATGGAGCCCCAAGTTTTGCAGTGGGAACACACACATTTGGTACGACTGTCACTTCTGATAATGTGAGAGGCAGAATGTGTACCTGATGAACGTGTACACATTCTCTAATGTGAGAATTTTCAAAACAAATAGTAATGTGTGTGGTTGCTAGGGGCTGTATTTGGTAAGCAATTATAAGAAAAACAGCTCTGGAAAGAATTGTTTGTAAGCAAGAATGAAAGGAAATAGGTCAGATATTTGGGATCTTGAATGAATTGAAACAGTAATTGCTGAGCCAATTACAAAAACAAGCAAACAAAACAACAACACAAAAACAAATTAACAGACTGTACTTTTACTTGTTAAAAGCCTTTAATGGAATCAAATGCTTTGGGGTAAAGATCAAACTCAGGGCCCGAGGCCCAGTAACCTTTTCAATTGGAAATATGGCTCAGGTGAAAGAGCTTAAGGGTTTAGCTTCCCCATCGAATCCAGAGAGATTCAAGATATCTACCACCTCCTTAAACTGGGAGAGGTGTAGGCATAAGAATATAAAGAAATACATTTGATTTGAGAAGTATGTTAGGGAAAGAATTGTAGCTGTAATTACTGGCACATGGAATTAATTAATTGGAATCCAACTGGTTAGAAACAAAGTTTTAAGAGGTATATTGCTAAAGAAACTGTGCCTGCACAGGAAGTGTTTGAGACTGTTAAAGCCCCAAAAGAACTTTTGGGCCCTGGGCAGTAAGTGAGTAAGAAAGCTGCATGTTCCTTAAGACCCATTTTAAATAAGGAGACCAAGAAAAGACAATGGAAAGGAAAAAAAAAATCTCCCTGAGAATGGAGCCAGAAGTCACACAGAACGAGGACCAAGTCAGGTCCTCCAGGGCAGCAGAGGCAGGGTCTGATCATGGCGGAGGAGCTGACAACACGTCTGCCCAGAGGAATTCAGAATTTCTCAGGGGCAGGAACTCCTGTTTTCTTTTTCAAGTATCGGATGTGTGAGTGCTGGATAATTTGTCACTTTAATTGATAGGTTTCCAAAGCTAGGGGAGCTACCTACAAACTTGATATAGAGGGTAGTACGTACAGTAGCCCCTCTGTATCCCTGGATTCAACTACCTGCGAGTGGAAAATATTTTAAAAAATGCAATAACAAATACAACAATAAAGATAATGCAAATTAAAAAAACACAGTACAACTATTTATATAACATTTACATTGTATTAGTTATTATAAGTAATATAGAGATGATTTAAAGTATATGGATGGCAGGATGTGCATGCATTATATGCAAACACTCCTACTTTTTTTTTTTTAAGGCACAGCATCTTTCTCTTGTCACCCAGGCTAGAGTGCAGTGACATGATCATAGCTCATTGCAACCTCCAACTCCTGAGCTCAAGCAATCCTCTTACCTCAGCCTGCCAAGTAGCTAGGACTACAGGCATGTACCACCATGCCTAGCTAGTTTATTTTATTTTATTTTTTTTTATGGAGATGAGGACTTGCTATGTTGCTCAGGCTGGTCTCGATCTCCTGGCCTCAGGTGATCCTCCTGTGTCACCTCCCATAGTGCTAGGATTACAGGTGTGAGCCACCACTTCAGGCCCTATTCCATTTTATATCAGGGATTTGAGCATCCTCAGAGTTTGGTATCTGTAGGATTCCTGGAACCAATCCCCTGCAGATACTGAGGGATGACTAGATTACCCATAGATTCTGGACTTTAAACTCAATGCCATGGCTGGAGAAGACTTTGGGGTGTCCCTCTAAGAAACGAGGTGGGTGTAATTGTAATATACATGTGTGCTGGGGGGAGAGTGAATTGAATATCTGGGGAAACAAAGGGGTAGACCATGGCAGATACCAGTATTTCCAGTTCTCCTTTTTCAGTCCTCTGTTCAGTGGCCCGGGACTGGATGATTGGTCCTCTAGCCGGGCTGTATGTGTTAGGAGGTGACACATACTTCCAGGCCTAGAGCACATAAGAGCTGGTGCACTGTTATCCACACTTTCCTCTCCTTCCTCAGTGAACCCAAAGTTTTAGGTTGAGATGGATATACCGTAAGATTGAGGCACTCTTGAAAACTGAGCATAAAGGCTTTTAACAAGTAAAAGTGCAGTACACATTTTTAATTTGTTTTGTGGTGGTGGTGGTGGTGGTGGAGGGCACCCATTTAAGAGCTTCCATGACTTACATGGATTTTATGCGAGCAAGAAAAAAATTGTGTGTTTAGCCACCTAAAAGGATTTGTTTTATGAACTTTAGATTCGGTTGAGCGGCTGTACTCGGGGATCCAGAGGGTCACATGTGGCCCCAAGCCCACAGGTTCCCCACCCCTGAATGGATAGTTTATCTTAGACCATTCAGTGCTAAATATATACATTCATATGTAGAAACATATATCTATACATATCTGATGGATGAAATAGGAGAAAATAAATTCCAACTTTTAAAACAAGAAAAATATGAGTAGCTGTTTAATGTATCTCAATTGAAGCTTTCTAAATATAATGTAGGGAAAAATAATACAGGTGAAAAAATAGATCTGACTACCTGCAAATAACATTTTTGAATATCAAAAATATCATAAGTTAAATGGAAATTAATGACATGCTGAGTAAAAACATTTTTTTGCAACAAAGGGTTAATGCTCTAATATATAAGAAGCTCTTAAAATGAGTAACTTAAAATACCAGCATCACACACATATACAAAAAAGCACAAAGAATATAAGCTTACAATTCTTATAATTCATGCAATCTGAAATATAGACAGCTGCCTTCCAGAGCCATCTGACCCTGAACCAGTGATGAGGTGCGTGTTTGCATTCCTGCTCAATTAGCAATCATAAAAGAAGTTGGCAAATAAACACCCTGAAATATTTTACATACCAGAGTTTACTCATATACATATTTATAAGAAGTAGGAAAATGAATGATTCTAGATTTTAAATTTTTAATATTTTTCTGTATGTCCAACTTTCTCTAATAAGCACTTATAATTTATAAAATATAAAAAATATTATATATTTTCAGATGAGGCAAGAGGAATGGTGTTGGATCTTCTAGTTACAAACCACAGGATCTGAAAGATAACAACGAATGTCCCCAGCAAGCTCCGATTCGGGAAGTCGTTGGTTGAATGGCGTGATCTGTAAAGGGATCTGACCTCCAGAGAGACTGACTCATAAATAATTATTACTTTTTATAATACAAATGTTTTTTGAAGAACAGCTAAAGTCTTTATTTAAAAAGCATTATGCCCCTATGAGATTTTTCCATCCCTAAGATTAATATCATAGTTGGGAAGGCCTGGGTGTTTTTCTACCTTATAATCATACATGAAGAATTATTTTGTGCAGTGCCACAGGTTAAATGCATATCATGAAATCCACTTCCCTCCCTATTGCCATTTCTGTCACTTAATTCAATGAAAGTCCACAAAAATACAGTATGACTCAGAATATTGGAGCTATGGCTAAGCAAGAAAAGTTCATTCAAAATTGATTTTCTTTCAGGAATCCTTGATATTCTTCATTCCAATTGTTCACCTCTACTGTAGGGCTCAGTAAACACTTAAGGAAGTTGCCATGCACTGCAGCCTGCCGGAGACATGAAGGAATGTACAGGAGGATAATCACAACATCATCAACCCAATTCTCCAAGGTAGCTGGCCAATAATGCTGTTCTAATTGAATAACTTATCCACAGCTATTTCCCCTGGGAGAGCCGAAGGCTCAGCCTCGGCAAAGAGGCAGATGGTGCCGCATATACAATGAAACCTGTAATTTTCTCTTGCCATTGGACATGTTAACAGTGGGCTGTTTCTGCTTATTCCTTAATATTTTATTTTAACAGTCCCTTCCCAAATTATAATGTACCATGAAACAGCCAAAGACGGATTCAGTGATACATATCATATTTAATTTATCATACCTCTAGCTCAGCGAACAACTCACTTGGTAATCAGCAGCAGTATGTGTCAGAGACAGGTGCAAACTGAAATGAAAGCGACAGAAAAGGACCCAATTAAAACCCAAAGGGGAGATGAGTTTTCAGGGTGGTGTGGCATTAACTAGCAGCAAAGTGTGGAATATTAAAGGCATTCTAACTCTGATTTTTTAAAAGACAGTCATTTGCCGTGGAAGATGCACACCCAATGTTTTGGGAAGACAATGGGAAGGCTCTGTTTTCTGCTACGAGAGTGATTCAACCACTGGGATCTGGAAGGGAATGAAGGGCTGTGTGGCTGCTTGATTTTCATCATCTAGCTGCAGCCAAAGTTGGAAGAGAGGGAAGTGCAGGCTTAAAGGGCAAGTAGCGACAGCCCATCAGTGATCTAGCAACACGACAGATGACAGGCCCAGAGGCAAACCGGGGCCACCAGCCCATCAGCCTGCGCAGGCTGCCAAAGAGCAGCTAGCTGCAGCTATGGAGGAAGATCATCCAGGCTTGAGCATTTGGGCCTTGCTGGGTCCAAAGTCTTTGTGCCCTAGAAACAGCCCTCTCCATAGAGAGACCCATTCCTAAAAACCAGTGAAAAGGAACCAAAGTGGAACAGACGCAGAGAAAGGAGGACCACTCTATCATTCTTGTGCAATAATACTTCCTAGGCAGAAAATATGCCATAAAAAATATTCCGTTCTGCAAAGCTACGTCTTGGAGGAGGAGGGCTTTCATAGCAGTAGTGAATAAGTGGGCCATTGCTGACGTTTATCAGAAATGCCAAGTCACAGGAAGAAAGCGCTTGAGGTCACAGGGCAGCACAGGTCTGCCTGTGGTAATTGAAAACAGGTGATGAGATTGGGTGGATTTTATTTTGGAAAGGTAAATCGGTGCTGCAGCACTCTGACATGGGTAATTCATGAAGCCTCTGGTTTGGATTAGACACCCAACATGCCTTTCAGAAAGAAATGACACAACAATTAACGTGTCAAATAATAATGTGCCACTTGGAGATGGATAATTGTACCCAGCGTTAGGTAGTTATTAGGTCAGAACGAATGCTCATCCTTTCAAAGGCAGCAGCGTCTATTCACGCTGGCATCCCACTGTAAGTACAGTATTGTGTTCATAATCACACGGGCTGAAGCTGGGAACATTGGGTTTTATCTGATTCTTCTCCATTTGGAAAAATACTCTGATGATTCCCTAAACAGCAAACTCAGTCATGTGAAACACAAATGAGTATGATGAAAGATTGTCATAGTCGGAGGAGAGGCTTTCTTTGCTTTTCACATAAAATAAAGCAGGAGGACTGTCCCTAAGAAGCTTTGAGCATATGCAACAAAAACTATCAGACCTCAGTTTGCTCATGTGTAAAAGATAGTCTTTCCTCCTGATGATTTAATGCACGAGGACATCCGTCAGTCACATCATGGCCTCGGAAGTCCTTGTTCAATTTCTGGTGCCATAACTTACTCGATGTGGGATTTGGACAAGTCATTTAACCTCACTGAGATTCTGTTTCCTCATTTGAAAAATAGAAATAGAAGAACCTGCTATATATTCAGCTCCACATTTGTTGAGAAGGTCAAAGAAAGGATATGAAAAGATATTTTGCAAATATAAAGGATTATATAAATATAAGACACTATTTTATTAATGTTTCAGATCAATTAATGTTCAATTTATGGTCAAATATGCTATCTTTTGAGCAGAGACAGTTTTACCTTAGAAAAACTGGGCGATGGCTTCAGTCCTTACAAATCAAAGGACTTTTTCATGAATCTGGGCCCTCATTACCACCTGCCCAAGACTAAATTAAATACTCACTTTATCCAACCAGGAATGAGAAACTGAAATAAGTAATTATTATGTATACATTTGCTTCTGCTTCATCTACTCAAGCATATTTGTGGTGAGATATAAAACAAAATATTTAGCCATTTTTGGAAGGAGAGAAATACTGTGTTTGGGGGCATTTCACCTGCATAGCCTGTTAAACTGGTTATTGTCCAAAAGTATTTAAAGGAAATAAAATATGATTATGTGCTACATGAAGTGTTCAATAGGATTTTATGGGCAAGAATAGTTTCTATGTCTTGTCCTTCTATGAGGATGCATTCTCAAGTGACATCTCGACTACATGGACCACAAATGGCAAAAAAAAAAAAAAAAAATTTACAGTGTGGTCCTTGAACCTGAGTAGCTTATGATGGACAGTCTTACCTGTAAAGTGATCTTGTTAGGGGAAATCAAGCTAATCTATAATAAACAGATAGTTAAATTAAGTAGTACTGAGACAGACAAGAGATGGTGAATTAACCTGTTGAAGATATACACTTTATTAATTCAGATTAGAGACTATAGATATGTCTGTTCTAACATCACATAAATGTTGTCCCCAAACCCTTGTATTCGACAAAAAAGTACCTAAAAATGAATAGAGCTTACAGATAAAATAGGACTGGCAGTGTGAATCAGTGCCCCACTTGAAATCTTTTTATAATCCTATCTTGAAAGTGATATTCCATCACTTCTGCCTTTTGATATTCAATAGAAGTAAGTCACTAAGTCCACCACACCTCAGGGGGAAGGAGATTAATAGCGGAGAATTTTTGGACTATCTTTGAAGCCATCACAGGATGTCTCTTAGAGGCAGAGGAGTGTTCAAAGAAGAGAGAACAACGTAAATGGAGAGGCCCAAAGGTTGAGGTGGGAAACCCATAAACCGATAAACCTATGTTCCTTGGGATCATCTGATATCGGCAGCCACAGAGTGAGGCAGTGGCAACAAAAGGAACAATCCAACACGAGCCTTACCTCCTCTTCCTAGAAGGCAGAGGGAGGTGTTGGTAATGGTCCTAGGTTTTAAGTAGCGTGGAGGAGGGGACTGCAAGGCAGATTCTCTTGAATTGGTTGGTAATTCCTGGCATAACTCTAAGGCATGTCAGCTGCTCTTCTTTCAAGCTATTCCTTAGAAAATAATCATTTTATTTGTACCATTTTAAAACAGTGAACAACAATACGAAGTGTGGGTTTCTTAGACCTGATAATCTCTTTCAGGAAGTTAAACCCTTGGGTACAAGAGGTTTAAACATGCTTTTATACTTGCATTTTGTGACAATACTTATTTGGCCCTCCCTTGGCTACTACAACCCGTCCAGACTTGAGAATCAGTCATGGCTCCAAGGTTTTCACATGGCTTTGTGGTCCTGCTTGCCACAAAACCCCTAGCCTAGGGCATGACCCATTATCCTGAGGCCCCTATCTCATCTCTTGCCCCATGCATTATGCCCTATCTCTGAGGTTTTCACATTCCCTCCTTCTTCTGGAAGGATCCTTATATCTGACCTCTCATTTCACCTCTGTCAATATTTATTTCCTTTGCTGTATCTCCATGCATGCTCATGGGCCCATGGCTATGCGTATCCTACATGAGTGATTCTCAGCTTGGGATAATACCAATTCCAGGGTCCTACCTCAGACAATTAATTCTGGCTATTCTAATGGGCAGCCTCGGTTGAGAGGCTCTAATCTCTGCAATCTCAGTTATAAGCATCCCACTTACCAGCCATTACTTCCTATCCATCTTTGTTCAAACACCTCCCATTTCAATTACTTTTTAACTTCATGGTGACCTCTAATCAACTGACACTTTTTGAAAATTTTCCTCTCTCCTCTTATCCTCACCTTTTATGTACTACACTATAGTTCAGCACTACATAACCACTTCCATTCAAAATTCATAATATTCTTGTCATTCTCCTACTCATCATACCTGCCTGGCAAAATTCCAACCTTGGTTAGGGTAACTATGCACCTAGTTCATGTTGGCACCCAAGCAGCAGAACATTGCCAAGAAAAATCATACAACTGCACAGACTGGTCTAGTTTCAATTTATTATCAAAAGTTCATATGGACCCTTTTGACATTACCAAGTAGTCCCTCTACGCTTCCCTAGTTATTTTACTTTTATGATTTTTACAGATGAGTATTATATTAATATATCATCTCTATATTGGGTTGAATTTTGGCCCCAAAAAGATATGTCCAAGTCCTAATTCCTAGTACTTATGAATGTGACTGTTAGGTTTGTTCCAGGTGGGAACTCGAAAAGTCTGTATGGGACAGAATGCGGTTAATGGATAACCAAGGTTTGTGAAACAATAGCTGCAGGAGTCTGGAGAGTCCCCTGGAGGTTATAAACCTAACAGACAGCTGCAGCCAGCATTCCCGTCTCCCATGGAACTACCCCCTCCCTTATCTCTACAGGATGAGACTGACCCAGGGGTCCCAGAAATTGGTTGTTTAAAAAAAATTTTTTTGCAGC